CTCTCTCTCTCTCTCTCTCTCTCTCTCTCTCTCTCTCTCTCTCTCTCTCTCTCTCTCTCTCTCTCTCTTTCGCTCTCTGGGCTGCAGCTCTGCTGTCTCGGCCCCATCGGCCTTTCCCTCCGATGCGTCCGTGGTGGGCTCACGCTGCAGCGAAGAGTGGCGTGCTGGACCCATCACTTCCTGCTCCCCACTGTCTGCTTCGGACCGACCGACGGTCTTTCGTCTGCGTATGCGATTTTCATTTTGGGCATGGCTCGAGCATCGCTCTCCTTTGTGACCTCCACAGAGGTGGACGCTGTCACTGGGCCGTGCTCGGCTGCTCGCGTATGCATTTGGGGATTTTGGTGTTTTTTTTTTTTTGGGCACGGTGATTCACCGGACGGCGGTGGCCTGAGCGGGGAAAATCTCGTCTTCTCTGCATGCTCGTCATGCGCCCTGTCTCGCTCCACGCTCGCTCGCTTTTGCCGTCGAGTTGGATCTGACGGTCGAGACACACGAGCAGCAGCCGGCCATTCCGTCCTTTGAGCTGCAACGACCGTTCGGCCTCCCGACTTGGACGTGGTGTTGAGTCTCAGCAGGATTGATTCCCCGGCAGTTTGCCGCTGTGGTGCCGAGGTGCGCCTAGCAGCGGCCGTCCATGGCTTGTGCTCATCACCCGCCGCTGCCTCCGATCTTCCCCCGCATTGCCGTTAACTGCTGCTTGCGCTGCTGGACGGCGAGATGCAGCTGCGGTTGTGTCCGAATAGATCCTAAACCTCCGATGTGCAAACGTGGCAGTTTATGCACCTGCGTGCCTTCGCTTCCGCTGCTCACAATCGCCTTGCCTATCCTTCTGCTTCTGCCCGCTTCCAGGCTGGTGACGGTTCTGAGTTGCAAAGGTTGCGGCATTGGCTGCGGCCCTAGACGGCGTTGCCAGCTCGAGCCGTCGTCTGACAGCCTTCCGCTTTTCCCGGCGCTAGAGCCTGTTCTGGCCCCATTCCGCTCGCTTGTGGCATCAGGGATCCACCACGGCTCTGGCGGTGCAGCGTCGTCAGTGCCAAGCAACCCTGACTCTCGCTAGCAGGTCTGTAAGCTTGTCGGCTCGGATGGGCATGGTTGGCTGTGGTCGGCAGTGGCTTTTTTCTCGCGTTCTGGGCGCACGTCATTCGGGTCCTCGTCGAGCTATGTTCGGATCCGCTCGCCGATCCATTCTGCACATCGTGTTTGCTGCTGCTGTTGGAGGCCAAGCTGCAGCACCGGCTGTGTCACATCCTTTGCGTGCAATGCAAGCCGCCGTGGCCTGGCTCGTGTGCGTTGGAGCAGGTTGGCAGTGCGCTGCGGACAGCTTTCTCCGACGGCTAATTAATTCGAAAGGACGCGCGTTTTCGGCACTGCAGCTCAGTGCCTGAAGGCGTGCTCGACGCTCAAGCTTGCGAGCCGCACAGATCTGCCGTCAATCCCTTCATGCATAACGTGCGTCCCTGAAATCGAGCTCGAAGAGCTTGGACCAAACGGGTTCTATAGTTGCTCAGCTTTGTTGTCTGTGTGGTCTGCACGCCCATACGAAACTCGACCGAGTGCAGGCCGACCAAACAGAAGCAGTTGCGAGCGGATCTGTGCTTCGAAGTGCATAGTGCCAAGTGCCAAGTGCGGAACGCGGACTGCGGGAGCTGCCGACTTTCTTCACGAGGAGCGGGGTCGGCGAATCGGGTCCATCGGTGAATCGGACAATCTCATCGGCTTTGAAAGTGCGGAAAGTGCGGAAATCGGAATAGAATGCTGCGAAAGTGGACCTCAAAGACGCGTCCGCAGGGTCCAAAGCAGCGTGCCATCACCCGACACCACATCTTCTGCACATCCATCCACCAACTCGGCAGCTGCAACATTCGCCAGCATGGACGGCCAAGCTGAGGGATCGTCGCAGTACCGGCGCGTGTACCTGCCGCCTCGCTCCGAGTACCGCTTCGAGCTCGAGCCGCACGAACGCATCTCGATCCGCCTCGTCCAGAACCGCACGCCGAGCGGACAAGAGCCCGACGCCGAGATCTTTGGTGCCGAGCTCGTCGGTGGCAGTCAAGAACGATGGTACCCGTTCGGAGACGAAGCCAAAGCTGCAGTCTCCTCGTGGAAAGGCGCTGAGCTCGAGATTGCAGGAACGGCGTCCACAGAGTACCTCGCCGACGAACCGTCGCCCGTCTACACCGCCTACTCGAATCTGCATCTGTACCTCGAGCGACGACGAATCCAGGCGCGACAAGCGCTGCGTGCGGATGCAAAGCTCCTGACCACTCTGGCCGGCTCCGTCTTGGATCCGAGCTACGTCGCACCGCGCACCACCGATCAGAGCACAGATACCGAGTCCGACCCAACAGGAACCGCTGCCACCACCGTCTACCGGCCCGAGGGACAGGGTCCAAGAGTCATGGTGCTAGGCCCGGAATCGGCGGGAAAGACGAGCCTGATCAAGTTCCTCGCCAACTATGCGCTGCGCTCGCCAGCCGTGGCGAGCCTGGGCAAGGGCGAGGCGGGCAAGGTCGCCGAGAGCCTTCGTCAGGGCGGAGACGGCATCATCTATCCCGACATGGAGAGCCACCTATCGGAGGAGGCCAGGAAAGCCAAGCGGGAGGAAGAGAAGCGCAGCGATATCACCGGATGGTGGCCGGTCGTGGTCAACCTCGACCCAAGCGACGGCGCACCGCCACTTCCGTGCTGCCTGTCGGCGCTGCCACTCTCGCCGCTGCCGCTGGCATCGCTTCCATCGCCTTCGCCCGCTTTCCCCTTTGGCACGAACACGGCAACCACAGGAGCCATTCCGCCGGGCACATCCACCGCACACGGCGTCGCTCCGCTGTCGCTGTGGCTGGGCAAGGAGAACGTGCGCGAGAACGAGCGCCACTTTCGCCGCGTCGTCGACTGGCTCGCCGAGGGTGTGGAGCGTCGGCTGGCGCGCGACTTTCGCTCGCGCATGTCCGGTCTGCTCATCGACACGCCCGGCGTCATCACCGCCGACGCACGCACCAAGTACGCCTTCATCCAGCACTGCATCAAGGCATTCAAGGTGGACACGCTCGTCGTGCTCGGCCACGAGAAGCTCAACCTCGAGATGACCAAGATGTTCGGTACGGCCGCAGACACCGCCGAGATCCCAGGCTCGGGCGGACAGAGGCTGCCGAGGGTGAGCGTGATCAAGCTGCCCAAGAGTGGCGGCGTGGTGGAGCTCGACGAGACGTACCGTTCGCGTCTCGAGGCACTCCAGGTCAAGACGTACTTTTACGGCGGATCGGCGCACAAGGCAGTCAGTCAGGAGGGCGGTGTGCCCAAGATGGTGTTGCCGGGACATGCGGATCCGCTGGGTGGAGTGCCATCGCTCAGTCCGTACAGCACGACGATCCCATTCGATCTGCTCGAGATCTACAAGATCGGCCAGGAGTCGCTTGCGCCTTCGTCGGCGCTGCCTATCGGCGCATCCAGAACGGTGACCGAGACGCAGCTGGTGAAGCTCGACCCGACCAATTCCGCTGCGGACCAAACCAGCCTGCTCCACAGCGTGCTCGCGCTGATCCAGCCGCCGCGCGGAGGAGGCGGCGCAGGCCAGCCAGACTCGTCTACGAATCCGACCGACGACGAGATCATCGGCGCGCCCATCCTCGGCTTTGTCCATGTGTAAGTCGCTTCTCCTTTGGTCCTGCTCAAAAAAGCACGCGAACGCTGACCGAACTCTTTGTATGCGATGTAGTGCCGATATCGACACGGTGCGCAAGAAGATCACCGTCCTCTCGCCGAGTGCAGGCAGGCTGCCGTCCAAGACGGCCATCATCGGTGTAGGTTCTGCGTCTGTGCAGCTGTGATCATACAAAGCCGCTTCCGACGCTGACCTTTTCTCTGCTCTTTGGCCTGCTGCAGTCGCTCGACTGGCAAGATGTCTAGCTCTAATCACAGCTGGGAGAGATGTGCATGTGACTTTACCGCGATCAATCTCATTGCTCAAACCTTAAGCGGGCGAGCGCGGAAAAGCGTTGGGGCCGCCCCTCGAAAGAACAAGCAACTTACGCGCATATCCCTCGACACGCGCGCACATGCTGGGTTTGAAGGGGGGGAGAGAGAGCTTGAGCTTGCCACTCGCGCGAGGCAGCGCGTGCGGGTGCAGCCGCGCGCAGGGTCCCATTTTTTTTTTTTTTGGAATCCAATTCTTCCCAGCCTCCACCCGCTTGGAGTCGCAGCTCCGCGAAAAGGGTGCGGACGGGCCCACCGCGCTGATTCATCGGCGGGGCCCGACGGCGCCGCTGCTGCTCCTCCTCATCCATCACCCTCTCGCTCGTCGCTTTAGCTTCGCTCGACCGTCCGGATGCCCGCCTGGCGACTCGCCCGACTCGCTTTCGGCTGATCCGACTTGTTCGGACCTGGCGCCGCGCCATGTCTCTTTGCGCACGCGCGCGCGCGGCTGGCTGAGCCCTGGCCGAGCTTGGCTAGCATGGCCCAAGCTTGCGACCCGCCTGCGACCCGGCTGCGACCCGGCTGGGCCAGGCGGCGCCTTCTATATAGTCGCTCGGCCGCCCGCGCCCCCTCCATCCCCTCCGGCATCCCCTTCGCCATCCCTGCTCCTTCGACGACACCACCACCGTCGTCTCTTCTTGGCTCGCTCCGCCGGCCACCACTACGACCACTACCACCGCCGTCCTCTTCCTCGCTCCGCCAGAGCGCCTCTTTTTGTCGCCCGCCCGCCTGCCTTTTCCAGCGTGCCTCTGTTGGCCGCTCGTCTCCGCCTTGGCCTTTCGTCTCGGTCGCGTGCTGGCCGTCTTTCGCCCAGCAGCGCGCTCCTCTCTCGCTCGCTGGCCTCACCAGCGCGCCTCGGCCGGCCGCTTCTGCCGCCCGCCTCTGCCGGCCGCATCCCCGCCTTCGTCCCGCTCGCTCGCCGGCCTCCTCCAGCGCGATTCTGTCGGCCGCTCGCCTTGGCCTTGATCACCGCGCTCCCCTCGCTCGCTCTCTGGCCTCGCCAGAGCGCTTCTGCCGCCCTCCCCGCCCTCTTGGCTCGCTCGCTCGCCTGCGCCACCATTGACCGTCGGCGTCTGTCGCAGCGCACCTCTGTTGGCAGAGCGCCTTTGCTATCGCTCGCCTGCACCCCACCTGCACCCCGCCAGCGCCCGCCAGCGCCCGCCAGCACCCCGCCAGCACCCCGCCAGCGACCCGCCAGCACCCCGCGCTCGTCTCTTCGCTTTCTCGCTCAACATTTTCGCCCTGGATCCGCCATGGCGAGCTCATCTGGCTCCGGGCATGGCGCATATCGGCCGTCACCGATGATTTCGCACCAAACGAGACTGGCCGATAACCTCGTGGGCCGAGTCTCGTTTGGCGCGCACACGACGGCCGAGGCGCCGCAGGCCAACATCGACGAAGTGGAGCGGCGCTTCGTCGAGACGGTGCACACGGGCATCCCAAGCGCCCACACGACCGAGGCCAAAGCCATGGCCGAGCAGTACTTGCGCACTTTTGTCGAGCAGATCTATCTGCCGCGCATCGCCGGCGGCGTTTCGGACAGCGCCATCACTGTCGACGACGTGCTCTCCTCGCCGCCGCGCCACGACCTCTCTGCGGACCGCCGCTTTTGGACCATGTTGGCGCAGTCTAGCATCTGCCGCTATCGCGAGCCGCTGGTTGACGACGAGACGCGGATCTATGTCCAGCCGGCGCTCGAGTGCTTCGCGATCATCAAGGCGACCTATTCGCGCCTCACGCGCCGCCCCGTCGACCTCGCCGTGCTTCAGGAGGCCAAGGCACTCATCCGCCGGGGCAACGTCTCTGCTCAACGCGGCAAGCCGGTAGCCACCCACGACAATTTCGTCCACTTTGTCTGCCAGGGCCTGTTCGGCAGCCATCTGCTGCAGCGCTGCCCGCGCGAGCAGATGCAGATGGCCGCGTTCCATCTCCTCATCGCCTACTGCACCGTGCCGCCCAGCGAGGTTGTGCTCGGCCGATTGCAGAGCGACGCGCTACGCTGGCGCGATGTCGACTTTTACCTCACGCTCTGGGATCCGGACGAGGAGGGCGATGAGGACGATGACGAGGGCGGTCTGCTCTTCGTCATCGACGACAACAACGACGCTGACGACGAAGGCGGCAGGGCCGCTCAAGCAGCCGAGGAGCGGCAAGTGGCCGAGGGGGCGGGCGGCCAAGACGGCCCAGGCGAAGTCATCGGCGAGCGCCTGTTCGGCGAGCGCGCGACAAGCGCTCGCCGAGCGCCAGCCAGGCCGCCGCGCTTCCGGCTCCACTGCGACGTCACGTTCCGCAATGTCAAGAGCTCCCCGGCCAACCCGGCTACGTGGTGCAGACAGCCGCTGTACGACAGCGGCGGCGCCGCCTGCCTCGAGCCCGCGCTGCTGCTCGCACAGATGGCCGAGGAGGACGCCATCTTCGACCACGGGCTCAGCATCGCCACCGTCTTTGATTCGACGGATCCGTCGTACTTTGACGATCGCGACTTCCTCACGATCCCCACCAAGCGCGACGCCGGCGACCAGTTTGTCTTTCGGGCGTTTGAGCTCGTCGATGTCGGCTCGTCGGACGATGGCGCCGCCGCACCATCCACCGCCGCCGCACCATCCACCCCGGCATCGACCTCAACATCCAGCGCCGCCCCGTCCACCTCGGCATCCGCTGCCGCAGCGCCCGCCGCCGCCGTCGCACCGCCATCCGCCACCATTGCGCCGTCGCCGCCGCCGCCCAACCTGCGGTGGACCGTCTCGACTTCGGAACCCTACACGCTCAGCATGGCCAACGCCACCACGGCCCGGCTGGCCAATGCATGCGGACTTCCAGAATTCCGGTCTGATGCGGTGCTGCGCATGACGGTCGAGAAAATCAAGCGGACCTCGATCACCAGGTCCGAGCGGCCTCCCTCGCCCAGCTATCTGTCGAGCCGCATCGACATCGATACCCAAGGCCTGGTCCAAGCGGGCCGCGAGAGCAAAGAGCGCATCTTCGAATACGCCCTGCGTCGCTTCGAGTCGATCGTGCCAAGGCCCTTGACGCTCGACGCAAGCGCCAGGTCGGCCGTCGAGCAGCACGCCAAGCTGCAGCGCCTCGTTGCCGAGCTCGCCGAAGCCAACGCAGCGCTCGACGAGACGCTCGCCCAGCCGGCACCGCCGCCGCCGGACCAGCTCGAAGCGCTCACGGCCGAGCGGCTGCGCCGTAAACTGCGCGTCGACAATCTGCGCCGCCGGCTGCGCCAGCGCGCGCTCGTCGAGGAGGCCGAGCAGGAAATGGCCATCCAGGCGCTCCGCGGCCAAGCCTGGCGCCCAGTCCAAGCCCAAGCCGGCGGCTCGACCGCACCAGCCAGGCGCACCGCACAGAGCCCCGCCGAGACGCGCCGAGACGTGGACGACGAGAACGGAGAAGCCGGGCCCGTCCGGCGAGTGAGGCAGCGCGCGGAGTGACAGCCCGGCTGGCTCAATCGGGGCCCGGGCGGGCGCAGGCGGGCCATTTGGACGTCGAGCGGTCTTTCCTTGTCGTTGTACTTTTGTTTTGCGTCTCAATGTCAAGCCGTCTTGTCTTTTGATCGTCCGCGTCTGCCGCACACACATACACACACCCGCAGCGCCAGGCCGCACGCTGAGAAGGGAGAAAACGGGGGAGTTTTTTTTTGTTTTAATTGATTTATTTTTGTTCAGAAGACATGAAGGGGCGAAAGTGCTTTCAACGTAGACGGCACAGAGAGGGCGGTGAGCATCGTGAGCGCCCGAACCGGCGAGTCTCAAGCCTCGTCGTCTTTGATCTTTTTGACCGCGGCAGAGCCGGGAGCGAGCCTGGATGGAGCGGCGTTCGGCGGCATGGCGATGTGCGCGTAATCGCCCTTGCGTTGCTGCATGTCGAGGTGGCGCTGCACGTCCGACTCGGTCTCGCCTTCGGCGAGCCAGCGCGCCATGCGCAGGTAGCCCGGCAGCTGCTTGGCGAGGTTCGCAAGGTGGATGTCGAACGACTGCACGCCGGGTCCGAAGCGATAAAAGATCCGGGTGATCTTGCTTTCGTCGTGCAAGCTGACGAAGTCATGCTCGATGCCGACGAAGCCGTCGATGGCGCCGGCCTGGCGCTCCAGCTCTGCGCGCTCCGATGCATCCACCAGGTGGTGGCTCTCGATGTCGGCGCCCAAGAGCGTGCTCGTTTCGCGGTCTCGGTCCGCCATGACTGCACGGCGTGGCCAGCGATACCAAGAGCAACTGTGCAGCGTCGAGGAGCTTGACGAAGGTTCGTGCCCGATTGTTGAGGCGCTTGCGAGGCCAGATGGGTCGTCGCGTCACTACGTATGAGTGTCAAAAGAAAAAACTGATCGAACGCCACAGACGCGGGGATGAGGATGGTGAGAGGCACACGAACAAGACGCCGATAGGTCGATATATATGTTGCAGGCTCGTGCGGGCTGCGACGTGCCATCCGCTCTGGTGGGACCGCATCCGCAAGCTGCGCAGAAACCCAAGTTGCGCAGGCGAGAAACCGCTCCGAAGGCAGACCGCAACGGGACCTGTCCAGCGAGAGGTGTACAAGAACGTCGCCGAGCTAGGACCGATGGACCGATGCAAGGACTACCCTTCGGTGCCGCGCTCCAGCGGAGAGCTCCCGGTCTGACGTCTGCTATTGGACCGCAACGCCCGAACTCACACCTCTAAGCACCTGCCATCGGACCACGCCGCCGCCCAGACTTACATCCCGATCGCCTTTTCCCCCTTCCCGTCTGCAATTGCACGATGCATCAAGCTGGCATGCAGTCGTACATCCTGCTAGACTGCGTGTCAAACTGCCTCAATTCCAGTGTGAAGTCCTGATTTGCGATTTTTGGTTTTCCTTTTACGATGCGAGTGAAGCGATGAGACTGCAAGTGGCGGTCACCACGTATGATCACGTTATTGCAGATGGCGCCAGACGCGCGTTTGAGAGCGGAGGATGGAAAGGCTGAGCATGTCACCGTCGATACCACAGACCGAAAGGCAATCGAGCGTGGGCCGAGCATGGTCCCAGGCCTTGGCTTGTCACAACCTTAATTGTGCAGGCAAGTGTCGAGAACCGCCGTGCTCCGACGGCGTCCGCTGCCGTGCCCCTCGACTGTGTTCCGCAGCCCCCTTCCGCAGCCGCCTTCAGCAGCCCCCTTCCGCACCCGCCTTCCGCAATCCCCTTCCGCAACTGCTTTGCGCATGTGCGTTCCGCAGCTTCTTCTCCTTCCGCACCCGCTTGCCTCCGACCTTGCTTCCGCTCCACCACCATCTCTACCATCTGGCCGGTCGCCTGCACATCGACCCGCGCGATTCTTGACCATGTCTGGACGGGTGTATCTCGACTCTGATCCGGACGGACAGTGGAACGTCGTCCATCCTGCCGGTAAGTTTATGTTCCCGACGCTTCAGCATTGCTCATATTACTGACACTATCTCTGTCTACGTAGTCCAAGCCCGGGCATCGCCAGCCCAAACTTCGGCACAGCGTGGCGCTCACCCCTCGGCTAGCTCGCCAACGCAGTCTCGCGCCGCCCAACCGCCTCAGACATCGCGTGCTGGCCATGCGGCTCAGCCGTCCGCCTCTTCGACCACGTCCGCTCTCGTCCACAGCCGTCCAAGCGCTAGCTCGTCCGCGCAGGATGTCGTCGACCGCCAGCCCGTCCATTCGTCGTCCGCCCAGTCTCCTCCCCGCACGCAGCCGACTGCTGCCGAGGCTTACGAATCGGACCTGACGTACTCCGAGACGGACGAATCCGAGGCTGACGAGTCCGAGGCTGACGAGTCCGAGGCCGTCGAATCCGTGGCCGCCGAGCCTGATGCTGTCGAAGCCGATGTTGTCGAGGCCGGTCCTGCCAACGTCGATGCTGCGCCTAGGCCGGGCACCGTCGCGCAGGAGACGGCACTGGTCCGCATGCATCTCATGTTCCGGCATTGGGTCGAGGCGGGCTGCCTTTCGTGTCGCGGTCTGGGAATCGCATGCGAGCAGCCCCCGGTGCACACTAAACAGGAGAAGTGCAAGCATTGCTCGCTCGAGTTCAAGCCGTGCACCTTGCGCTGGATCCTGTACATGCCCAGGGTCATCGAACTCGTGCAGAAGCTGCGCCATGTCGACTTGTCGACCATCACTCCCGAGTTTCTGGCTGCGGAGCTGGAGGTCTTTCAAGATGTCAAGGAGCTGGGCGGGTTCATGGATCGCTGCAAGGACTACGGTCCGCTCGCCCACCGCGCCCCTGCCGAGCACCCCGTCGAGCGCCCATCTTCGGAGCGTAATGACCACACTCCCACTCCCAAGCGCATGACATCGGACCGCAACGCTCAGACTCACACCCCGCCGCCCTCGTCCGAGCCGCAGAGAGGAGCGTCGGCACGCAGGAAGCGAACGTTCGACACGATGCTCAACGATCTTCCCACTCCTAGCGACGACGACATGCGCGAGCAGGGTGGCGTCGGCGTTGAAGTCCTGCAGCAGCACCAAGCCGAGCTCGCTTTCTTCGGCCCAACGATCACCAGCGAGCAGCTCCTCGGTGTCTGCGCCAGGACACTGTCTCGAATCGCGGAGGAGATGAACCGTTGATACCAAAAAAAAAAAAAAAAAAAAAAAAAAA